CTCTTGTCCTGGTCATGCCCTGATCCCTCTAATGAGCCTGGCAAGCCGAGAAGCCTGAATCGGGGAGGTATCTTGGGAACCAGGCTGAGGTGTGTGGCTCCTCTGAGTGTGCCTGAAGGAAGCTGAAAGGGAGGCAGCCTGGCTGAGCAGCTCCCAGGATGGACTTGGGGTTGAATTCCAGTCCTGCCACTCACGGGCTGTGTGAGTCACGTCCCTCTGCTGAGACTGAAGTGGGGCTAGTCACCCTCTCTGTGAGGAGCTGGTTGTTGAGGGGTTAATAGTCATGTCTGGGAAGCACTCAGCCAGTGTTTAGGACCTGCAGTGTCCGGTTAATGGAGGCCTCCTTGTCATTATCATGACCAGGGTATCTCTTGATGTCCACCTACCTAGACTAGCCCCAGACTCCGTCTCCATTTGTTCTTCCCCGTCTCCCAGCTCCTCTAATCGCTTTCCTAGTGGGAGAGTGGCCGAGGGCGTGGGGAGAAGGGATGGGCGGGAAAAGATTAGATAGAATCAGGGAGAGGAGAAGTTACAGCCCAAAGTGGAGGTCCCATCCTTGACCTCCTCAGACCCCGAGCCTCTCCTCGACCCCTCAGATTCTCCCTTGAGACTCTCTTCTCTTTCCTGCCTCCACAAATTTAGCTTCCTAGCACGTGGCTGCAAGAAGACTGTGGGAATTAGGATAGAGCAGCGGTCGGCAAACTCATTAGTCAACAGAGCCAAACATCAACAGGACAACAATTGACATTTCTTTTGAGAGCCGAAAGCTGACTTCTGCACGTGGGCCATGAAGTTTCAATCGCCCTGTAGGGCGCGCCCGCATGTATTTTGTGGAAGAGCCACACTCAAAGGGCCAAAGAGCTGCATGTGGCTCTCCAGCTGCAGTTTGCTGACCACTGGGATAGAGGTCTCTGAATATAGAGGCCATCCCAACTCCTCGTCCTCCCTCTTGCCCCCATGCCCGTCCTCACTGCCAGACCTCTGGCTACCACCCTCTGCCGACAGCAGCCGAGGGCTTCTTCCCTGGCAAAGACGGCTGTGTCTGGGCAAAGCCCAGAGCAATGGCATCCCGGAGTGGGCGGGGAGGATCCTGGCTGGAGCGAGCCGAACCGAGAGCCGGAGAGGGCCAGGGTGGAGGACCCGGGGCCTCCCCTGGGCCCAGCATTCCCCAGCCCTCTCGTGTACCTGGAAAGGATCCGCTCCCTTCGGGAGAAAACGGCAGGCAGGTCTGAGCTGGCCTGCTCCTCAGGAGACGGAGGAACAGGCTGGGGGAGGGGGCCTGCGATCTCCGTGGGGAGAGGTGGCTGTAACCCCGTGGCTCCTCTGGGGGAGCCACGAGTGGAGGGAGTATGGCCTAGGCACCCCCTACCGTAGCCTGGGGCTCAGCCCTTTGGGTCCCCCCCCCCCCCCCCCCCCCCCCCGTCTTCTGCCACTTGGAGAGCCAAAGGTCTGGGCCCCCAGGGGGAAGATGGTGCCTGCTCACCCCTTCCCAAGAGCCAACGTGGGTTCCTCACTTCCCCTCCCCTGGGCTGGGCAGGTCCGGGCTAATCTTCGCAAGAGCTTCATAGCAAACATTGATCTGTAATAAAACCACAACGTGTGTTCCGGAGAAGATTCCAGACACGGAGAGATCCAGACACCACGCAGACACACACACTCACACACACACACACACACACACACACACACACACGGCACACACGGCGCTGAGAGGCAGACACCAGCAGCCCGGAAAACACCGCTAAACATGGACTCACGCCGAGTCACATGCACATCCCCTCCCGCCATAAACATAGTCCTTCAACACCCGGGCCTTCGCTGGCAGCCGCCGTCCCCGTGTTGTCCTGGCACTTTGCACACAGCTCTGTAATAGACTCGCACTTGGCATTATAATTATTTGTTAGCCAGTTTGTCTTCTCCGGCAATCTGAAGATTTCCTAAGGGAAGAAATCTTGTCTTGTGCAAGTGTTACCCTCAGCATCCAGCAGGCAGCTCGGAATTTAGTTAGTGGGAGTAGGGGGGGTGCTTCATAAATAATTGTTGAATTGCCGAACAGGGGAATAAACGCTATCCCCCTCCCCCCACGGCCCCTCAGAAGCACAGAGGACACCAGGTGCGTGCTGCTCACGCCTCTGGCCCACCTTCTGGTCTCTTAGAGCCCGGATCTCACAAAGGCCCCTTCTTCCTCCCTCTTCACTCCATGCAAGACCATGCATTGGAGCCCGGCCTGAGGGCTGGCAGGCAGGGTAAGGGTTAATGACACCTCATTAGGGTTTAATTGGAGGGAGGAAGCTGCCCTGGCACCAGACAGGTGGGCAGGCCTGGCCCAGCTGGAAGCAGGCCTCCCCTGTTCCAGCACCCTGCCAGGTGTGTGCGCTATTTGGCCCTGGAGAGCCTCAGCCCTGTCGGGGGCACCTCCCCCACCGTTTGCTTTGCCAACTTAGTCTCCAGGCAGTACAGACCAGTCCTCCCCATCTGTCACCGCACATTCGGAGGGGGGTCAGGCTTCCTGTCCTTTCTCGGTGCCCCGCCCACCTCAGGAGGCGCCGGAGGCTGGGGAGAGGGGTCGGGTAAGGAACTGGACAACTGAGAGACAGCAGAAGGGGCGGGTTTGGGATCCACGGCGACGTTGAAAGACAGCCACGGGGAGGCTCAGAACTTGGGAGATGTCTGCCCAATTTGACCTTAAGTGAAGAGAATGCAAATGAGATGCAGACGATATGCAGATGAACACCACGAGGAGGATCTCAACATTTGCATTCCCGGTGGCGGCAGCTCTGCACCCAGGACCCCTCCTCATCGCCCTGGCGTGAGCGGCCCTGACCGTGACTCTGGGTGAGAAGAAGGATCTCAAGGAAGAGAAGAGCTGGGCTGGGCTGGGCCAGAGCCTCAGGACCTGGGCGCTGAGCTCCACCCGTCACCTGCCCTCAACCCAAGCGCCACCAAGATGCCAAGATGCCAATGGAACTGCGCTAACCACTCTCCAGGTAGTGCTGGGACGCACTGTCCGTTGCTATGGGGACCCCTCCCACGTCCAGGCCTGAACCAATGGGCGTCCCTGCTGATGACCTCATGCTCTAGGCCCCCGAATTCTATTGGTTATTTGGAGGCCATCGTGCCCCTCGCCAGCTGCGTCAGGGCTGGGGATCCCCATGACTGGTGTGGCCTACTGAGAGAAGGGCATGCTGGGAGCTCACAATTTGTTGAATGAATGAAGGTGGGGGGGAGGGGATGAGTCACAAAAAGGCCAAAACTTCAGTGTTTTGCCTGAAGGGAGATTTGTAAACCCCCCCCCCCCCCACACACACACCGCCCTAAAGAATGGGGTGGATCAAGCTCTCCGGGTGGAGGGAATGAGCAGAGATGAGTGGAGTTTTCACCTGTTGGGAGAGAGTAGGGCAGGCCCAGCAAATTGAGGGCCTCACCCTCTGCCGTCTAGCGCCGCTGAGTTTAGGGGAGACCGGTGACGCCCCAAAACTTGCAGAGCTGCCCAAGCCTCCTGGAACCGCGCCCGGAACACGCCTGGAGGACTTCTCGAGGGGAGGAGGGCGGGCGGGCCGCACCGGAAGCCTGCCTGCCCGGCCTGGGAGCGGACTCACTCCCGCTCTCCACCGGGACTTCCCCGGGAAGGTGTCAGGGCCCGGGCTGGGCGGGGAGTGAGGGCAGGGCGGCGCCTGGCCCGAGTTCGAGGCTCCCTCCACCCCCTCCACCCCACAAAGGGCAGAGCTGCCGAGGTGTCGCCCTGGCACCTGCAGGGAGCGGGGCGGCTGTGTCCAGGGTGCGACCACAGGGTGGGCGGGGTGGGGTGAGGTCCCAGCCGCCGGCCGGGTCTCTCTCCTGCCTCCTGGCCCGGTCTGCTCAGAGGGTCCCGCTGGGTCTGTGGGAGCAGAGGCCCAGCGCAGGGCCGGGCTGCTGACCAGGGGCCCCGCCTGCGGTTCCCCTGGAGAGGGTGAGGCAGTGCGGGTGGATGACAGGGCGACACACAGACATGCATTCCGGATGGCAGTAGGCGGAACTCGAACCCAGAATCACAAGACAGCCTTCAGCTCTCACAAGTCCGTGCACTCCAACCCCCCTCCCCCCCCTCCCCCTGCTAGAGATGGCTTGAGATGAGGCCCTGACTGCCGCCTACCCAGGCCTCGCACCCACAGACCCCACAGACAGGCATGTTCTGAAAGGGCCTCCCTCAGCCGAGCGATGGGATTACCAGAGGGACCGGGCTGCCCTAGGTGCTCAGGGGTGGGGAGGGGTCCACAGTCCCAGCATTTCAATCTGCCAGTCTCCGGCCCCCCCCACCCCTCCCCACCCCACCCCGCCCGGGCGTTCACACTCTGCCTCTCGCTGCCGCAGCCGCTGAGCTAATGAGCACAACATCCACCTATCGATCCGGGCGCAGTGCCAGGCGGCCGGCACCGAGCTGAGCCATGGAGGCCGGGGGCACCGGGGAGGTAGAACACAGCTGGGGGGGGCGGCCAGGAAGGGGCGCCTTTCCCCCTGGCGCCACCCAGGACACCATGCGGAAAGAGGCCCCGATGGGTCTGGGGGGATCACAGCCTTGTCTGCAGGGGGAGGAGTGTGGGGCTGAGAGCAGAGGGGGCCTTCCCCTCCCTCCTTGTAAAAGCCGAGAACAAAGAGGCGCTGGGGATAGAGGCTTTGATCCGACCCCACCTTCCCAGTTCCAGGCCGGCCCCGCCCAGACTGCCCCTGGGAGGGAGAGACGCCCAGCTCTCGGGGACCCACGCGTCCTGAAACCAGGGTGCTGCCTTCCCATGCACGGCCTGGAGCATCCACCCTCTCCTCGGCACAGGAAGCCAGCTGGGGGCGGGGCCCAAGCTCCACAGCTGCTGCTGGCACCCACTCCACACTGCCCAGAGGGGTGCCCGCGGAGGCCTGGCATGGCTGGCCCGGGCACAGCTGGCACGGAGGTCAGGCCAAGCCATGCTGAGAGCAGAGGCCGCAGGGAGTCCTGGTGTCAGGGAAGGGGCAGGGGGCAGGAGGTTGAGAGCAACAAAAGAGATGGGCGGTTTATTGAGGGCTTGGTCCAGGGACTTATAAAAATACAAACTGGCAGGAAATTCGGCCTCATGGCAAGTCTGTCTTCACAGAAGACGAGTGAGTGACCCCTGGGAGGGCACTGGGCAGTGGCAGGCCTGGGCCACCCTCGCCCTGGTCCTTCAATCCACCGGGCCCAGCTCTTCGTCGTGGCCCCTGCAGGCTGGAGGGTTCGATCCCCCCGATTCCAGTCTTCCTGGGAGACGGATGGAGAAGGCCACGGAAGCAGCGGTGGAGGCCCGGGCTCAGCCTGCCTTCGATCCCGGTGCCCAAGGCCGAGTGCAGCTCCCCTGTGGCTCCTCTTCAGCCTGGGACGAGGGGGCCAGCACGGCAGGGGTCACGTCAGACCCTGACTCCCCTCGCCACGCCTCCATCTTGTCTGTCCGGCGCGGCACTCCCAGCTCAGGTGCAGGGGCTCCTCCAGGCAGTCCTGGGAAGGCGCTGGCTCCTGGGGTGGCAGGAAGGGTCCCCTTGGCTCAGAGAACGCGCAGGAGACGAAGGATGGGGAGCAGCAGCAGCGGCAAGAGGCAGAGGGGGCTGCGAGTGCCCCCCGCTCGCCACCCCGATGTGCCACTCTCTCCAGGGCTCCCGACAGGATGGGCGGACTCAGACTCTGCGAGGGGGAGGGGAGCGCCACTGTGTCCTCCGTTCCTGCTCCCGGTGAGCGGTTCACCCCCATCCCATTCTCCAGGATCCTTCAAATCGGCCATCTTGTCCTCCCCAAAACCCAGCCTCCGGGTCTCCCCCAAACGGCCGGTGCTTGCGAAGGCCTGGCGCCTGGAGGTGTGGCTCTGCTGCCCACCACACAGGCTGCAGGGGGCGCCCCCACAGGCCGCACGGGGGAGGGGCCAGTGCGCACAGCCCTCCCCGAGCCCCTCCAAGCCTCCCAGACCTGCCCTCCTTCCCCAGACCGGCCCTCGCCGGAGGACTGCTGCCCGGCCCCCCACTTACTGCTCTCCTTGCAGCAGACGGACACCTGGAGCCTCAGACACCGGCCAGGACTCCCGGGCGTGGGCACGGCTGGTGGGGGAGGGAGGAGAGCGTTAGCGCGGGCTGGCTCGCAGACTCCGAGTCAGGCCCTCCCACGTTCTCCTCTCGGCAGACCCTGGAAAACTTTTCCCTCCTTCTGGGCCCCGTCCAGGTGCCGGGCCCCGTCCACGGCGGCTCCTCAGCCGCTCAGCCACTCTCCTGGCTCCTCCTCCTCCTCCCCCTCTAGAGACTCACTCTGGATGCCCCCTCTGTCCTGGACTCAGGGCCCTGCCAGCCCCCCTCTCTGACCACAGCCCCTCCTGCCTCCCGTCCCAGGTCTGGTCCTCGTTCCCTGGCCCATCCCTCCTCCTCACCTTGGGCTGTCTGCCTCCACGGGTGGCAAAGCCAGGTGCCCGCCCCCCCGCCCCGCACTCACAGATGTAGTAGTAGGTCTCTCCCGGCAAGAACTCGAAGCCGAGGGAGAAGGGCGTGAAGCGCTGGATCTTCTCGGAGAACTTGACGGGCCCGAAGGGAGCGAAGGGCAGGGAGCACTCCCAGCGCTTGAAGGCACCCGCCCCCTGTGCCTGGCAGGCCTCGTAGCCCGACCAGTCCACCATGTACAGGGCAAACGTCTCGGGGCCCTCGGGGGGCCCGGGGCCCTCATAGTGGGGGCAGAAGATGTCCAGGTAGTCGTTGAGGCCCAGCTCCACCGCCGCGTCTCCTCGGAGCAGCCTGCGGACAGAGGGTCACGTGGGCTGCGGGGCCACTGTGGGGCATGCTTGGGCACAAGGTTACCCTTTCCGAGGTCTCTGCCAGTCCTGCCCTGCCCTCGGGCGAGGCCTGTGTTCTCTAGACGGACAGCTTCGGGGGGACAGAGGGAGGGGAGATGGGCAGCAGGTCCCAGGCGCAGAGGTGAGGGCCGCAGTCACACCCAGCGGCTCCCGGGAGAAGCCCTCACACTCCTGCCTGGGTGTCGGAGCTGCCCATCTCTCCAGCCCAGCCCGCCGGGGCCTGGCTCAGCTCCTGGGCCTCATAAACGTCAGCCGGACGGACGGCTGCTGCGAAGGAGCTGGGACAGGGGCAAGGGGCAGAGACCCGGGCCCACAGGGCGGTCACAGGGATGGAGAGTGGGAGCAGTTTCCTCTTTATTATTTTTAATTTTAAAAAAAGTTTTAATGTATTTTATTGATTTTTTTTTTTACGAGAGGGAGATAGAAACATCGGTGAGTCATCGATCAGCTGCCTCTTGCACGCCCCCTACTGGGGACGTTCCTGCAACCAAGGTACAAGCCCTTGACCAGAATCGAACCCAGGACCCTTCAGCCCGCAGGCCGACCGAAGCTCTATCCACGGAGCCAAACCGGTTTCGGCAAGTATCCTCTTTAAAAGATGTCCTTGAGCTCTCAGTCCAATGCTGAAAAGAACGCCAATGGGGGGGTGGATGGTGGGTGCCCCTCTCTTTTTTATTTATTTTTTGCCAGGACAAGTGCCAGACGTGGAGGGGAGCCCCCTGAGTCCCCCATCTTCAGCCTCCTCAGCACACCCTCCTCCACCTCTCGGGAGCTGCCTGGGGAGCCAGTGCCGGCAGGAAGGACTGGGACACACAGCCCCCCCCCATCAAACACAGCACGAACCACGCCCCCTCCCCACCACCCCCTTCATGTAGGACAGGCCTCCGACTGTCCCCCAGGGGGTGGTCCAAGGGCCACCAGTGTCAGGAGTTCTGATTAGAAATGCAGGTTCCACCAAAGCCGGTTTGGCTCAGTGGATAGAGCGTCGGTCTGCGGACTGAAGGGTCCCAGGTTCGATTCTGGTCAAGGGCATGTACCTTGGTTGCACACATATCCCCGGTGGTGGGTGTGCAGGAGGCAGCTGATGGATGTTTCTCTCTCATGGATGTTTCTAACTCTCTATCCCTCTCTCTTCCTCTTTGTAAAAAAATCAATAAAATATATTTTAAAAAATACAGGTTCCTGGGGCTCAGCTCAGACCTACCAGGACACCGGTCGGGCCTTTGTACGTTTCCTTTCCCCGGATCCTTAGTGCCTTGAGGAGTGTCCGGCACCAGGACAGCGCTGGGTGCATGTTTGTGAATTGAGGGAATGAACCAGAACCCTCAGCGTTGGGGGCTAGGAACCTGAATTTTTAACCAGTCCTCTGAGCGGCCGAGGCCCAGGTCTGGAACCCGGAGAGGCATTCCTAGCAGGAGGACAACAGTGCTCTTATCTTATGGTGTCGGTATTGTAACGCCCTGTCCGGGCCTGCCCTCCCCGGGGGGCATTCGGGCTCTGGGAGGACAGAGTCTAGGTCTTCTCATCTTTCCGGTCCCTGGCCCCCAGCCCCCTAGCTCAGTCCCATACACAGTCCGCTCCTAATAAACGTGAGTGATTAAATACAGTCACACTTTTGAAGAAAACAGTGAAGTCAGACGACGTGCCCAAAGGTGATTCGGCTGGAAGGGCAGGGCCCAGACGGGAGAGGAACAGGAGGACAAGGATCAGGACCGAGACGGAAGCAGAGACGCCAAATGGGAGAGATCACGAACCGGAGTGAGTGAGGGTCGGCGGGCAGGCCCGGCGAGCAGGAGGGGCGCCCTCGCTCTCCCACAAAAGCCAAGCCCCCTCCCAGGCTGGGGGAGGCCGGGGAGCCCCCCCGAAGAGAGGCGAAGGGGGCGGGGCCCGGGGGACAGGCCAAGGCCCCTGGGCCGGGCTCCGGGAGCCTACCTACCGGGATCGGGACCGGGGCTCTCTGCGCGCCCCCCAACACGTGCGGGTCGGGGGCGCCCCAGGGCACGCCTCGCCCCTCCCCCTCCCCCGCCGACTCAGACAAAGGAGCCCCGGCGCGCGGCCCGGTGCGGCCCGGTGCGGGCGGGTGCGGGCGGGCGGCGCGGCGCGCGGGGCGAGCCGGGGGGGGCGCCCAGGCCCGGCGGGGGTGCGGCCCGGGCTCGGCGCGGCTACCTGGGGTTGCTGGCGTTCCAGTAGAAGTCGTGGCGGAGGCCGGCGCCCCCGGGCAGCGGGGAGCCGAGCAGCGCGGCCCACAGGACGGCGTGCAGCAGGGGCAGCAGCCGCATCGCCCCCCGCGCGCGGTCCGGTCCGGTCTGGTTCGGCCCGGCCCGGCCCACTAGGCTCCGGCCGCCGCGAGAAAGGTACAAAGTGGGGAGGGGCGGGGGGGTGCGGGGGCCTCGCGGGCCACGCCCCCCGACAACTTTCCGCCAATGGGAGCGCGGCCCCGCCCCCGCGCGCGGCGCCAGCTCCGGTTAACCCCCTGCGCGCCCGTTAGCTGCGCAGGTTAGCGCGGCGCCCCGCGAGGCCGGACCGGGCTGGCGGGGGCGGAGGGCCCTCCTCCCCTCTCCACGCGGGTCTCAAAGGGGGGCTGTACCCTCCGTGCCCGCCTCGGTGCGGGGCAGAAGGCGTCCTCGGGGGTTTGGAAGATCTAAACGGCAGCGCACGCCCTTTGCCCGGGAAGAGTAAGGCGAGGCCGGAGCCAGGACCCGAGCAGCCTGTCCCGCCGCCCGTGGTCCTTGCACGTCTAAGGACGGCGCTGGGGGTCGGGGCAACTGGCCTGCGCCCCCCCGAGCTTTCCCTACTGAGCCCGATGCCCACCTTGGGGCTGGCGCCTGTCCCTCCCTCCCCGCACCTCCGTCCCGGGCTGGGGGCCGCGCGGCCCGGCGCCGAAGACGCAGGAATGAGGCGGCTGCGGCTCGTACAAAGCACCTTTGTTCCCGGGCCCTCAGGTGGGGGCGGGGAGGAGGCAGGTGCGTGGCCTCGGGATCGTGGGAGCCGCTGCCGCCGGGCCCCACCCCGGCTCCAGGGCGCTGGGAACGCCGGCCAGATCCACTTTTCCCAGCCGCCCGTCAGAGGGCGGGGTCGGCGGGCTCCGCGGCCTGGCTGCCGGGTCCGATGGTCGCCCCTGGGCGCTGGGGGCGAGGGCCGGGCGGCCAGGGATAGCGAAGGGCTGGGCGAACCGCTCTCTTTGGCAATAGACGGTGCGGAGAGCCCCCCAAGCTGGGCAGGAATGAGCTGCGAGCATCTGGGGGCGCCGGCACTCCAGCCTGGGACTCTGGTCCTCCCAATCCAGTCTTCGTCTCGGGCGACAGCGTCCCCTGGCGGCCAGATGAACAGCAATGGGAGGGGTGAGGGCGACCCAGACTTCCCAGAGCAGACAAACTCCGAGGCGGGCAAGCTCCTAAAATCTTCCGTTTATTACAGCCGAGCAGAGAGACTGCGCGCACTGCACCTCCCTCAGCCGGGTCCAGCGCCCACCCCATCCGTAACTGTGCGCGCAGGTCCCCGGGGGGCAGCCCGCAGCTCCGGGAGTGTCTCTAGAGGCCTGCTCCCCCGGGGGCAGCCCCGCTGTCCTAAGAGGCCTGCTCCGTTGCATCCAGGCTCTGGCGCCTTCCATCACCGCGGAGGAGCGTGTGGAGGGGTGCCCCAGGGGCCGGCCCACACCTCTGTAAGTCCTAGGTTGGGTTGGAGGCAGGTGGAACTCCAGAAGAGGTCAGAGGTAGAGGGAGGACACAGCTGGGGGAGGCGGTGCAGGCCTGGGGTGCCAGAAGCAGAGAAAAGAGGTCAGAGGTTCCCTTTCTCCCCAGACCGCTCGCCCTGTCCGCCCACTCTTTTCAGCGCCCTCCTTGCCCACCTGGAAGGTACCACCAGGGGCGGGATTCCAGCTCCTGGACCAGGCTGGTCACTTGCAGGACACAGGCCCTGGGGGTCTGCCGGGAGTGGCTTCCTCGGGGGCGGGGGCTTGGCAGGCCCCTGAGACTGAGAGAGAGAGCAGGTAGGACACAGGCTTGGCGAGGCTGTCATGTTGGCCCCCCTCACCCCACCATGTACTGGTGCTGGGAACACCAGCTGTGGGGGGTTGGGGGGAGCACTGGAGGTCCCTCTTGGTTTCCATCTGTCACCATAAGAGTACCCTTAGGCACAGAGGGGAGATCTCGCCACGGCCACAGCCACGGCCACCACAGCCCTGGATGGTGGGAAAGGCTGTGACCTTCTCTCCCCCCACTGTTACCTTCGGGTGCCTCACCGCCGGGTCAGCGGGCAGAGGGCGGGTGGGGGGATTAGGTCGGTCAGCCAGCGCAGCCTGAACAGAGAGAGGGGCAGTGACTGTGAGAGCACATCGAGGGGCAGTGAGCATGCAGAGGTGCCCCCGAGGGGTTCAGACCAACATGCACAACCAGCCAGAGGGCAGGAGCACAGGCACATGCGCACGGGGGCTTGGGTGCATGCCTTGGGTGCATGCCGGCAGATGTCTGGGGGAGGAAGGTGTGGGTCACCGTGCTGTCCCTGGCCCGCTGTAGTCCCGCCTCTGACCACCAGGTGGCGGTAGAAGCCAAGGCAGGAGGCTCACCCTTTGCTGCTTCTGGGGCTCAGAGTGTCTGAAGGCTGAGGGGCACCCTGGTCCCCTAAGGAAGAGCACCGCCGGCAGGGCACAGGGGTGAGAACGGCAGTTGGGCACCAAGCCTCCCGCCGGCCCGGAGCCAGGGCAGGGCCTGGCCCAGATTTACCTGGAGTCTCTTGGGCACAGGGTCAGGAGGCAGTGGCCGTGAAGGGGGTGCCGGGAAGCCAAGAGCACTAGCCTGCTGAGGTCGCAGGAGGAGCAGACAGGCAAAGTGGGGGGTGGGGGGAGGGAGCAGAGAGAGAGAGAGAGAGAGAGAGAGAGACAGATGTGGGCAGAGAGGGTTAGTGCCCAGGAGGGGCCCCTAGGACCCCAGGGACAATGGGGTTGTGCATGCCATTATTCATTTGCATGCAGAGGGGGTGACAAGTGGTAGACTGGGCACGGAGACCACCTCCACACATACTCCTATCATCGCATCCAGAGGGCTCAGGCCAGAGCACTCACCAGCCCTCTACACGTGGTGAACACCGAAGGCCATCCTGGGTCCCACCCTCCCTTTCCTGCCAGGGACCCCAGCTTGGTCCCAAAGCCACAGCGTGGTGAGCTCCAAGGTCAGCAGACCCTCCTTGAGGCCCTGCCCCACCCCCCTCGGCTGAGGAACCGCTGCACTTGGTTTCTCAGCTGCAACCCAAGGAGGAAAGGGCTGGCCCGGCTCCTCTGACTGACTCTTGGGCGCTGTGAGTCTTTCTCTGGGCCCATCCCGGGGCCCTAGCTGGACGCCAGGCCAGAATGCAACTCTCCCTCCTCTGGCATTCGGGACTCACCTTGACACCTGGCATCAGCTGGGCCCTCTGCGGGGGTCCAGGGCGTTCTGGGGGACCAGGCTGAGCTGCCCTAAGCACGGAGAAAGGCAGGAGGGAGAGGGCTTGGCCTCAAACCCTGTTCTCCACCCATATGCCACTCTTGAGAGGAGCATGTGTGGGGCGTAGGCCCAATGGGTGGGGGGCGGTAGCTGATCAGCCTGGGAACCCCACTTCCCTAGCACAGGGGCTCCTGGCGGGGAGAGTGATCCTAGCACCCCAGCTTACCCCTCAGGTCTACCGGTCTATGTGTGAGGCGAAGCGTTCCAGGGAACAGGGAGGGAAGGGAGGTGTGTTCGGGTGTGGCCCCAAGGGGCTGGGGGTGGGAGCCAGGTGGCAGGGGCTGCAGAGGGGGTAGGGGCAGGGCTCCGGGCTGCTGTGGAGGGCAGCTGGCAGCAGGAAGGCTGGTACCTGTACTGGCAGCTGGGTCCTTTGAGCTGGCAGAGTCGCTGGCGCAGGCGGGCACGGTACCAGTAGCTGGCACCAAGCAGCACCAAGATCAGCAGCAACAGGAGGCTGAGGAGCAGTCCTGTGGTCAGGGACCTGGAGGCTGTGGGGTGCAGGCAGGTTTGAAGGTGAGTGGGGCTGAGAACCCCACACCCAGGAAGGGGCAGGGGACAGGGAGTCAAGTCAGGGGCTCAGAGAAAGGGGGGGGGGCAGGGGTCCCAGAGTCAGGGAGCCAGCCGTGAAGGGGCGGGAAAAAGAGAGGGGTAAAGGATGAGCCACTCTGCCCTCCCAGCTGCCCGTCCCCCGGCCTTGCCACCTCTGATCCGGGCCCTGCAGTCAGGGGGCGCCCAGCCCTCCTCGCAGTGGCAGAGCTTGTTGCTGTCGCAGACCTAGGAGGGACAGGGTGAACAAACCATGAGGGGCTCTGCACTCTGGGGCCGAGTTTCCCTGCCCCCAGCTTTGCAAGATCTCAGATATCCGCCGAAACCGGTTTGGCTCAGTGGATAGAGCGTCAGCCTGCGGACTGAATGGTCCCGGGTTCGATTCCGGGCAAGGGCATGTACCTTGGTTGTGGGCACATCCGCAGTGGGGGATGTGCAGGAGGCAGCTGATCAATGTTTCTAACTATCTCTCTCCCTTCCTCTCTGCAAAAAATCAATAAAATATATATTTTTTAAAAATCTCAGATATCCACAGCTGGCAGGTGAGTTGGGGGTTGCAGGGGGCAGAGAGCCAGCATCTGGGGGGTCTTTATGCTGAACTACCACTGTGAGTGCCTTCCAGATGCCAGGCACCAAGCTAGAAGCTTCCAGACTCATCGCATGTGGCTCAGGAAGGGGTTCTGTGCCCATGGGACAGAGGGGGACGCTGAGCTCAGAGGGGAGTAACTGCTCCAGGCCAGGCAGCCAGAAGAGCGAGGATCGGAACGGGTATGTCTGTTGCCAAAGGCCTGGAGGCTCCCTGCCCCCTTCCTCGTTCCCTCGCCAGCTCACCCCGTGCCCGTTGCACTTGCTGCGACATTCCTGTGCTCCCAGGAGGTCCAGGGGCTGGCATCGGTGGTCGATGCACACCTGCCCGACGGGGAAGCAAGAGCAAGGATCACATTCCGGCAGAACTTACCGGCTTGGGGAGCCCACGTGGCTCAGGCCGCACCCTGCCTTTCCCGACGGGAAGACCAAGGCTCAGGGGAGGACAGGACGTGGCTCGGCCACGAGCGTGCGAACTCCCCCTGGGTCCTCCCGCGGAGGCTGGCTCACCCGGGCTGCTCACCAGGCTGGGGCCGCAGGCCGTGCCTGGCAGGGCCAGCAGGGGCTGGGCCACGTCGGTGCCCAGGTCCAGGTGCACCCAGCTGCAGTTGAGCCGGGTCCCGTTGGCGTCCAGTACCTCCCAGTGCAGATCCCGGGCTGAGCCCAGCAGAGGCCGGGCCAGGCCCCCCCGGCACTGGAGCTGCCCGCACACGGCATCTCTGGGGTGAGGAAGGAGGCACGGGTCTGTGGGATTGGGGCCACGGCTCCCCCAAACCCAG